CGGAAACCCTGTACAGGGTCACTATGAGTCAGAACCTACTCCACGGCACATAACAACAACAACAACCCTAGAATATAGAAAGACTTCATTAATTGTTGTTACTTGTTAATGTTGTAGTCTGTTCCGACTCATAGTGATCCTATATAGGGTTTCCAAGGAGCAGCTGGCAACCTTGAACCGCTGACCTTGTGGTTCAAACTTACCTTGCAGTCCAGAACATTAATCCACAGTGTAAAAATCACAAAACTCAACTTTCAACTAAAATGTTAAAATAATTTTCCTAAACTTAATGCTGGTAGTGGTTCTGTGCTGTGTAGTCGGTTCCAACACATAGCGACCCTGTACAGGGTTTCTGAAGCTGTAAATCTTTACGGGAGCAGAAAACCTCATCTTTCTCCCATGGAACAGCTGGTTAGTTTCGAACTGCTGATCTTGCGGTTCACAGCCCAATTCGTAACCAGTATGCTACCAGAGTTCCTTAATGTTGATAGGTACCATTGAGTCTATCCCGACCCTGTATAGGGTTTCTGAGGAGCGGCTGGTGAGCTTGAACCAATGACCTTGCAGTTCAAACGGCTTTGCAGTCTGGCACATTAACCCATAGTGCCACACCAGGACTCCAGAGTTCCTTAATAGTGGTAACTAAAGAGCTAACAAGGATGCTTCAAAAAGTTCTTGGAGAAATTCCGATACCTTTTCATTCCATTTTCCATGAACTTTTTGAGGCCTCCCACCACCCTACCCCTGTACATGAAAAGTCACATAATTATATAAAAATATATTTATGGTTTTGAATGTGTGAATATAAAATGTGTTCATACAAGGAAATGCAGAGGAAAAGGTTTAGAAGGACATGCCCAGTTGGTTACCTATGAGAACAGAACTGGGGATGATTTTTATTTAAAATGTTTGCTAAAACCAGCTGTTCAGAAATTAATTTTGTAATAGGTGCTCAGGAATCCTGGTATGATGCTGCAGGATAATGCACTGGACTGCAAGGTCAATTTGAGTCAAGGTCAGCAGTTCAAACCTACCAGCCATTCCTCGGAAACCCTATACAGGGTCACTATGAGCCAGAACCGACTCTATGGCACACCACCACCACCAAAGCTAATAACAAAACAGTATCAAGAAGTATTTTATGTAAATTAATGTTCCATGGAGTTATGGTATGGCACTGTAGAATAAGCACTGGGCTGCTAACCTCAAGTTTGGTGGTTGAAACCCACCAGCTGCTCCTTGGAAATTCTATACAAGGTTGCTGTGAGTTGGAACCTATTAGAAGGCACTAACAACAATGTTCCATGCTACTGTATCTTGCCATTTAAAAGTTCTGTTAATACTTTAGATGGAAATTGTTTAGAATTGATTTTTTATATTGCCCTACTTTTTCTTTGATAAAAGAAGCCTTGTGGAAAAGTGGTTATGC